CCCCTTACCCCTATATCCACCAGCCTCCCCCTCCCCCACTTACCCCAATATCCCCCCTCCTCCCCCCCCCTCGTAGCCAGAATGTTGCGTCCTCTATGGAAGGTCTATACAACGTTGTATGTGTGTCTGGAATTACAGAACAACCCTTTACGTGTTAACAATTAACCTGATGGGAGCCGGTCGGCCGAGCGGACAGCACGCTGGACTCGTGATCCTGTGGTCCCGGGGTCGATCCCGGGCGCCGGCGAGAAACAATGGGCAGAGTTTCTTTCACCCTATGCCCCTGTTACCTAGCAGTAAAATAGGTACCTGGGTGTTAGTCAGCTGTCACGGGCTGCTTCCTGGGGGTGGAGGCCTGGTCGAAGACCGGGCCGCGGGGACACTAAAGCCCCGAAATCATCTCAAGATAACCTCAAGATAACCTGACGGAACAGAAGCACAGAGACCACGTGGTGCTGACGCTGTTCTTGTTTGTAAACAAAAACATCAGAGCGATCCAAACAAGGACAAAAAAAAACACCAAAAGACGGCCAAACAAAAACAAAACAAATACGCGAGGTTTTTAAACAAAAAACATAAATTATAAACAGCAAAAAAAAAAAAATAATTGCGAGTTTCCACATAGCGAAGAAAACCATCGAGGCGGGAAAAACACGGGTCGCGCCGCTACCAAAACAGGTGACGGTCGCTACTGAGCTCCACAAACAGGTGACGGTCGCCGCCCGCCCAGGGGAGGGGGGAGGGGGGGGGAGGATCTGATCCTGCTAATGCTGGGTACGCACGCCTATAATCCCGCTAATCTGCTCACCCGCGCCCACGGTGGGAGGAGATGGGAAGGGTTGTTACAGATTCACTCTCGGGGTTCTACCCACGCCCACGCCCACGGTGGGAGGAGATGGGAAGGGTTGTTACAGATTCACCCTCGGGGTTCTACCCACGCCCACGCCCACGGTGGGAGGAGATGGGAAGGGTTGTTACAGATTCACCCTCGGGGTTCTACCCACGCCCACGCCCACGGTGGGAGGAGATGGGAAGGGTTGTTACAGATTCACCCTCGGGGTTCTACCCACGCCCACGCCCACGGTGGGAGGGCAGGAAGGGTTGTTACAGATTCACCCTCGGGGTTCTACCCACGCCCACGCCCACGCCCACGCCCACTCTACACGCCAGGGTTCGCGGACAGGAGTGACAGAGAAGGAGCTGAGACAGTGTGAAAAGGAGTACCTAAGCAACAGAAAACAGAGGTTTGCTGAAGAGGCAAAAAAATTCTGAACATGATTTACCCGTTTGAAGAAATCAAGACGTTACCGGGTGGCCTTAACGGTCCCAGAATGGGTTATTAGAGTTTAATCCAAGCAAGTGCAAAGTAGTGAAGCTAGGTGTCCGTACAGCAGACTGCACGTCCTAACACAACGTCGCATTTTGACGTATAATCAAAAGCCAAAAATCGTCGTACTAGAAAATGGAAGCGGCTGGCGAAATTGACATAACTGTCCCGTTTTCTGTTTTGGGTCCTCTGGCAGGTTAGGATCAGGGGGCACTTTAGTTCGACAAGTTTCATGGCGTTACGGGAACCTTAGAAAGACGGGCTGAGGAAACAGATTCACATGACGGATACCACAAGAGCTACTAACACCAACTAGTCAGTTTCTAACACAGTCTAAATTAAGGATCCTACCAATGTATGCAGACTGACCGACCCATCACAGGATGGAACTAGGGTTATCTTGAGATGATTTCGGGGCTTTAGTGTCCCTGTGGCCCGGTCCTCGACCAGGCCTCCACCCCCAGGAAGCAGCCCGTGACAGCTGACTAACACCCAGGTACCTATTTTACTGCTAGGTAACAGGGGCATAGGGTGAAAGAAACTCTGCCCATTGTTTCTCGCCGGTGCCTGGGATCGAACCCAGGACCACAGGATCACAAGTACAGCGTGCTGTCCGCTCGGCCGACCGGCTCCCATGCTAAGAATGCTAAGAATGCTCCCATGCTAACTATGCTAAGAAGCTAATTTAAAAAGTCAGAGACTAATGCTGATAGAATAACGTTCTGCAGCATATATAATGCTGGCAAATATAAGCATAACAATATACAACCCTATATATATATATATACAAGGAAACCGGTCGGCCGAGCGGACAGCACACTGGACTTGTGATCCTGTGGTCCCGGGTTTTATCCCGGGCGTCGGCGAGAAACAATGGGCAGAGTTTCTTTCACCCTATGCCCCTGTTACCTAGCAGTAAAATAGGTACCTGGGTGTTAGTCAGCTGTCACGGAGCTGCTTCCTGGGGGTGGAGGCCTGGTCGAGGACCGGGCCGCGGGGACACTAAAGCCCCGAAATCATCTCAAGATAACCCTAGTTCCATCCTGTGATGGGTCGCTCAGAAGGAAACACAGGAACTAGGCGGCGTGGGTGGAGAGGGAAGGCGCAAATGAACCAACATATTGTATAGATGGAAGAAATGAAAAAATCATGTCCATATATGCGCAAAAAATAGTAACATACTGGAGCGATTGATATGACCACCGATGTCATAGGTGCCATAGAAACAATCAGAGTCAATCTGCATGCTCCATGAGTGTCAATCTGCATGACAATCCGACCCAGAGTAGAGTAGAGGTGCCATAGAAACAATCAGAGAACACTGCATGACAATCCGACCCAGAGAAGAGTAGAGGTGCCATACCTTACCTTGAGGTTACCTTGAAGTGCTTCCGGGGCATAGCGTCCCCGCGGCCCGGTCGTCGACCAGGCCTCCTGGTTGCTGGCCATAGAGACAATCAGAGAACACTGCATGACAATCCTACCCAGAATAGAGTAGAGGTGCCATAGAGACAATCAGAGAACACTGCATGACAATCCGACCCAGAATAGAGTAGAGGTGCCATAGAGACAATCAGAGAACACTGCATGACAATCCGACCCAGAATAGAGTAGAGGTGCCATAGAGACAATCAGAGAACACTGTATGACAATCCGACCCAGAGTAGAGTAGAGGATTGCCACAGCGACAATCAGAAAAAAAGAAACCATCAGATCAACCGGGTTGCAGTGGATAAATGGGGCCTGCGAACCGCTGCAAGCAACAGCCTAACTGATCAAGTTATCCCCAGACTTGTCACAGAAGGAGGCAGCTAAATGATTATATGTAATATTAAATGTGTATATAATCGAGCATAGGAGAAAGTCATAACTGAATGAGGGGAAACACAGACATATAGAAAAGAGAGAGAGAGAGAGAGGGGAGGGAGGGAGGTAGGGATAGAATGAGGGAGATAGGGGATAGTGTGAGGGAGGGATAGAATGAGGGAGATAGGGGATAGTGTGAGGGAGGGATAGAATGAGGGAGATAGGGGATAGTGTGAGGGAGGGATAAAGAATGAGGGAGATAGGGGATAGTGTGAGGGAGGGATAGAATGAGGGATATAGGGGATAGTGTGAGGGAGGGATAGAATGAGGGAGATAGGGATAGTGTGAGGGGGGATAGAATGAGGGAGATAGGGGATAGTGTGAGGGAGGGATAGAATGAGGGAGATGGGGGATAGTGTGAGGGAGGGATAGAATGAGGGAGATAGGGATAGTGTGAGGGAGGGATAGAATGAGGGAGATAGGGGATAGTGTGAGGGAGGGATAGAATGAGGGAGATAGGGGATAGTGTGAGGGAGGGATAGAATGAGGGAGATAGGGGATAGTGTGAGGGAGGGATAGAATGAGGGAGATAGGGGATAGTGTGAGGGAGGGATAGAAATGAGAGAGATAGGGGATAGTGTGAGGGAGGGATAGAATGAGGGAGATAGGGGATAGTGTGAGGGAGGGATAGAATGAGGGAGATAGGGGATAGTGTGATGGAGGGATAGAAGGAGGGAGATAGGGGATAGTGTGAGGGAGGGATAGAATGAGGGAGATAGGGGATAGTGTGAGGGAGGGATAGAATGAGGGAGATAGGGGATAGTGTGAGGGAGGGATAGAATGAGGGAGATAGGGGATAGTGTGAGGGAGGGATAGAATGAGGGAGGATGAAAAAATCAGGAGGGAAAAAACACAAACACTCGAACCACGACCCTCGTTTGTGAAGGATTAAAACTCAATTGGCCCTGGCGAGGTGTTTCCTCGTGAGATGATTATTACCTCACACCAGCACCGTGGGAGGGGGGGGAGGGAGAGGGAGAGAGAGAGAGAGAGAGAGAGAGAGAGAGAGAGAGAGAGAGAGAGAGAGAGAGAGAGAGAGAGAGAGAGAGAGAGAGAGAGAGAGAGAGAGAGAGAGAGAGTCAGAGAGAGAGTCTCTAGAATGCAGGCCACATTAAATATGTCGCATATTCCCATTTACAGCGAGGGTGAACAGAGGCATCAGGTCAAATTAACAATGGTTTGAATTGTCAATCCCGGACGACATCGACCTCTTAGTCGCCTACCCATTATTATATGCCTATGTGTGTATATGTATTTATATATGTACACACACACACACACACGAAGATATTAAATAGAACTGATAACGCCGTTGTCCTAGGAGTTGAGGACAAGACCGACCTAACCCAACTACCGTCAACGAAGCACACATTCCCGAGATTAGCCGAGGCTAATATAAACAGGTGAGGGCTGGCTGGCCTGCTTACCTTCCAAATGCAGACAAACGCTTAATTAACATTCCGGCGTCAGAAGCCTTTTGGTTGCGGGGCATAATTGTCTATTTAGTGTAATTGTCAAATGGCTGTTTTCATATAATTAGGATTTTATAAAAAAATATATATATTTTTTTTTTACTTGCCTTTTTTTCTTTTTCATTGTTTTAAACAAGTTTTCTCCTGATCCTTGGCGTTGTGTGTGTGTGTGTGTGTGTGTGTGTGTGTGTGTGTGTGTGTGTGTTGTGTGTGTGTGTGTGTGTGTTGTGTGTGTGTGAAAAAGAAACATTAGTTAATTAGTAGATAGTAACAGTTGATTGATTGACAGTTGAGAGGCGGGCCTAAAGAGCAGAGCTCAACCCCTGCAAGCACAACTAGGTTAACGGAATACCTTCAGCATGGTGTGAAGGTAGCTTGGTGGCTGAAGGCTTCAGCTTGGTGGCTGAAGGCTTGGTGGAGGCTGAAGGCTTGGTGGAGGCTGAAGGCTTCAGCTTGGTGGCTGAAGGCTTCAGCTTGGTGGCTGAAGGCTTCAGCTTGGTCGCTGAAGGCTTGGTGGAGGCTGAAGGCTTCAGCTTGGTGGCTGAAGGCTTGGTGGAGGCTGAAGGCTTCAGCTTGGTGGCTGAAGGCTTGGTGGAGGCTGAAGGCTTCAGCTTGGTGGCTGAAGGCTTGGTGGAGGCTGAAGGCTTCAGCTTCGTGGCTGAAGGCTTGGTGGAGGCTGAAGGCTTCAGCTTGGTGGCTGAAGGCTTGGTGGAGGCTGAAGGCTTCAGCTTGGTGGCTGAAGGCTTCAGCTTGGTGGAGACTGAAGACCCGCGACAAGTGGGGTCCCCAAGAATCAGTTCTGGGACAATTGGTATTTCCAAATTGCTGTGAATGATGTACATATGTTGTAGGGATCTCCTACAAGGTGACGTTTGCTGAGCTAGTGAGCAATGTGAAGACTGAGGGAGACTGCAGACAAAACTCCATGAGTGGGCAGGTGTACAAATGGCTGTTGGAGTTCAGTCTCTGCAAGTGTAAGGTAATGAAGATGTGCTCACCTAGTTGTGCTTGCGGGGGTTGAGCTCTGGCTCTTTGGTGATGTGAAAGAGAGAGTCAGAAGACTTATTTAGGGGAAGGCGACTACAGGAACTGGACTGAAACGACTTGGGAGCGGCCATAATGCTCTCTGACACCAGAGGCACACACACATACACGGGGTAACATCAGCAGCGTACGCGAAGCTTGCGAACATTAGAACGACATTCACAAAGAAAAGATGTTTTGTAATAAGACTTGTCCCAGAATTAAGAGGCTATATCAATGCAGACTGGTTCAGGGACCTTAATCTCTCCATTTCTAGAGAGGAGAGAAATACGGGAATATGATCACAACATACAAGATATTGCTGGGGAATAGAAGGGGTCGAAGGACCGCCTCTTTAAAGTGAGAGAAGGTAAGGCATGGAAACGCAGATGAAAGCTATTATGAAGGAAGCTATAATTGTTGTTTAAGATTCGCTACCTGGAACAAAAAGTTCCAAGTAGCACGGGCTATGGTGAGCCCGTAGTGGAAGCTATAATGCCCGAGATAGACTCTATACCTCCCTCCCCCCCCCCCCACCCCCCACGCCCGGAGACACTAATAGGTAAGCACTGGTAGGTAAAGGAGCAAGCAGCCACGCTGGCAGGCGGAGGAAGTTATGGCAACGCGGCGCGAGTGAGCGTGTCGTACCGCATTAGCCACGCCTCCCTCACCCCCTCCCTAGCACTTGTTTCCTGTTATTCTCTTTAGCGCTCGGGCCCTTGAGGGAGACGGAGGTGCCGCTGCGTGGAATTCGCTTCCCTGGGGTCATGTTGGCCGGGAAACTGATCGACGGACCAATATGGTTTCGCGATCAGTGTGTGTGTGTGTGTGTCTGTTCTCGTCTAGTTATATCTGCGGGTTTGAGGATGGTTGAGTTTCAACCTTTGGGCCTGCCTCTTGACTATTTCTTACTACGGGGGGGGGAGGGGAGGGGGGGTTACCGGCGGTGCCCGGGTCCCTGTTTCCTCTTTCCAACTGTCCCTCTACCTTTCCCCTTTCCTTCCATTCCCTCTCCTCTCCCACGTCTCTCATTCTTTCTCCCAGTGGACAAAACATTCAAAACATCAACATTATAGACGTTGAATCCACGACTGTTAATGAGGACATTTCATGGCTGTTACCGTCGATAAAGGCCATGAAATAACTTGGGGAAACACTATGGCCAATCACACCTACATTTCGGATCACATAGTTGTTTATTAACGCGTTGGTTAACGCGTTAGGAGCTGATAGCTATACTTAACCCTAACCCTTAACCTTAAGCCTACTTTTTAACCCTACTTAAAGATGGGCATGGAGTAGGGGGTGGAGGGGGGGGTCGACCCCCCACCACTCCTGTGACACTCCATACAAATCACAATTTACAATGATGACATGTTTATGTTTATAAGAACATAAGAATAAAGGTAACTGCAGAAGGCCTATTGGCCCATACGAGACAGCTCCTATTTATAACCACCCAATCCCACTCATATACATGTCCAACCCGCGCTTGAAACAATCGAGAGACCCCACCTCCACCACGTTACGCGGTAATTGGTTCCACTTATCAACAACCCCTGTTACCTAACCAGTATTTACCCAGGTCTTTCCTTACTCTAAACTTATCCTCAATTAAAGGCCCCACATACGAAACCTGTTTATCTTTACTCAACCAACCCACTTGCCCCTCTCTATTACACCGAGAACAGCTTGACCTCTGCCTCGTGTGCTTCAGCTCCTGGGCCCGGAACGTTATCTTGAGGTTATCTTGAGATGATTTCGGGGCTTTTTAGTGTCCCCGCGGCCCGGTCCTCGACCAGGCCTCCACCCCCAGGAAGCAGCCCGTGACAGCTGACTAACTCCCAGGTACCTATTTACTGCTAGGTAACAGGGGCATTCAGGGTGAAAGAAACTTTGCCCATTTGTTTCTGCCTCGTGCGGGAATCGAACCCGCGCCACAGAATTACGAGTCCTGCGCGCTATCCACCAGGCTACGAGGCCCCTACGTTACACATTAAACAACAGTGGACAGAGCAACTCAATACACACTGCAGTGACTTATTTACGTTGTAGGGGCAGACTCTACAGTGAATTTCTCCGTACAGTGCTTCCCGGCAGTGCTTCCCGGCAGTGCTGCAATAAGCAAGGTTGCCGTTGCGCAAGGTGGCCGGCTTTTGTCACCGGCAGGACAAATGGGTGAGGGCGGGTAATTGTTAGGTGGGGCTCATGGCTCCAAGACCCTCGGATGGGTGGGGGGGGGGGACTGGAGTAGAGGGTGTGTGATTGGGCGTGGGAGAGTGGGTGTGGAAGAGGGATGGATAGTGTGGGAGTGAGTATGCGAGAGGGTGGAAGGGTATGTGTGGGAGAGTGGGTGTGGGAGAAGGAGGGAGGTGGGTGGAAAGTGTGAAGTCGTCATTATGTGTGCAAGGGGAACAGTGGGCTGGTGGGTGGGGGGGGCAGAGTGAGCTGGTGGGGGGGCAGTGGGCTGGTGGGGGAACAGTGGGCTGGAGGGGAAACAGTGGGCTGGAGGGGGAACAGTGGGCTGGTGGGGGAACAGTGGGCTGGAGGGGGAACAGTGGGCTGGTGGGGGGGGCAGTGGGCTGGTGTGGGGGGGCAGTGGGCTGGTGGGGGAACAGTGGGCTGGTGGGGAACAGTGGGCTGGTGGGGGAACAGTGGGCTTGTGGGGGAACAGTGGGCTGGTGGGGGGGCAGTGGGCTGGTGGGGGGTGGGGCAGTGGGCTGGTGGGGGAACAGTGGGCTGGAGGGGGAACAGTGGGCTGGTGGTGGTGGGGGGCAGTGGGCTGGTAGGGGGCAGTGGGCTGGTGGGGGAACAGTGGGCTGGTGGGGGAACAGTGGGCTGGTGGGGGAACAGTGGGCTGGTGGGGGGCAGTGGGCTGGTGGGGGGGGGCAGTGGGCTTGTGGGGGAACAGTGGGCTGGATGGGGGGAACGTGTGGGCTGGTGGGGGGGGCAGTTGGCTGGTGGGGGAACAGTGGCTGGTGGGGGAACAGTGGGCTGGTGGGGGAACAGTGGGCTGGTGGGGGAACAGTGGGCTGGAGGGGGAACAGTGGGCTGGTGGTGGAACAGTGGGCTGGTGGGGGAACAGTGGTGCTGGTGGGGGTGGGCTGTGGGGGGCATGGGCTGGTGGGTGGCAGTGGGCTTGTGGGGGGGAACCGTGGGGGGGGGGGGGGGGGGGGGGGTAGTATAACCAACCTAGACAAAGGTTCAGTATGGTATCATTGATGTAACCAAACCAATGAAACATTTAAAATCGCCTGGACAATTTGCACACATAATTTGCATGTTGGACTCTGAACAATTAATTAGAGATATTGCAAAGATGATATACTGTATGCGAACTGAGCATCTTGAGTATGCAAATTGAAAGTTGAGTAGCTACTGAGAGCATCACGTATATGTATATTTACGAGGCTAGGTTTACTGAACATCATTCACTTGTATGAACTTGTATTTTGAGTTCAATTTTAGTCTTTGTACATAGATTCCAGTTCATAATGCAATACTGCATAACGGACTGAATGATTCATAGGAAAAAACTTTAGACGCACAAATATTTGCATGTCAAATTTATGTTTATGCAAAGTTTAAAAGTTAAAAAGTTTATGCAAATTTAAATCAGGAGGGACGAGGCAGGGGGGTTAAATGAGCAGCTCACTAGCCTGTGGTACTATCGAGGGATAACCATACTGTTCATACTGGTGATTAACTTAAGTGCCTAAAGTGTGAGTATACATTAAAACAAGTGTTGATTACCTGTTGAGTATTCCACCTCTTGAATACCTGTTGAGTGTTGCCACCTCTTTCTCACATTAAATCTTCTAGGTATTATTATTTATTTCTTGGTGCCCATATGAGTGTTGCCAATAATATTTTTAACTGTTTTAAGCCCCATGGGTTCCTGCAGGCAAGGGCTGCCATTTTGGGGCTGGCACCACCACTGTAAACAGTCTGTTTTAACACACCTATTATGTGTCTACAACAGAACACCCATTCAGAACACCCCTTACAGGAGAATAACCTTCAAGAGAATACATATTATGCCTCTTCAGGAGAATAACCTTCAAGAGAACACATATGCCTCTTCAGGAGAATAACCTTCAAGAGAACACATATGCCTCTTCAGGAGAATAACCTTCAGAACATTTATTATGCCTCTTCAGGAGAATAACCTTCAGGAGAACATTTATTATGCCTCTTCAGGAGAACATTTGTCATCCCTCTTCTGGAGAACAGCCATTAAGCTCCTTCTGAAGTCCCTGGAGAACACCCATCATTATATGCCGTTTCAGAACACCCTTTCTGTACTCTCCAGCTGCCCTTGAAGAGAACTCGCTTGCACTCACCGTCAGGAAAGACGTGTCTCATCTTGAGGTAACTGGTGGTGAGGCGGATGATGGAGGCCTTGTCGAGCTGCGAGGTGATGGCGGCCGGCAGGGGCAGCAGTTTGGCCAGCTCCAGAAACTCTGCGTTCTCTTTCTCCCGCCGGCTCCGCGCGGCGTTCTTGCTCTTCTCTTTCATCCTCGCCCCTGCTGGGGAGAGAGAGAGGTGAGGGGGAGTTGCTGGAGGAGAGGGGAGATACTGGAGAGAGGCAGAGAGATGCTGAGAGAGCGGAGAGAAAAAAAGAGCGAGTGAAGGGAGCGAGATACTGGAGAGAGACAGAGAGAGAGAGAGAGAGAGATATGCTCGAAAGGAAGGATAGAAAAGACTAATACACCAACCCACACAGAGATAACGTGATGCATCAAATGAACAAATCCACAAGGGCCGTGACGAGGATTCGAACCTGCGTCCGGGAGCATCCCAGACACTGCCTTAATCCTCGTCACGGCCCTTGTGGATTTGTTCATTTAATACACCAAAACTAATTTAGAGTACAGCATCACACCATGTAATATACCCCACTAATGACCTGTAACCCTTCTCTTCATCTCTATAATAATTAACCTTCACATTTCAACTGTGTATTATTGCAAATAAAAACAAAATTATATATACCATCATTGGTAATTCCACGCCACCAGACACCACCAATAAGAACCCAGCATCCCAACAACGGAGTGCCAGACCTCCCCCCCCCCCGGCACTTGTGGCAGAAATGAGCAAAAACCATTATTTTACCATCAACAGTACACTTGTGTCTTTGTTGTCCCGAGGCATATGGATCACGTCTTCCGCAGTTAACATTTATAACTAATACGTCGACGATATATTAGGCATTGATATTCACTGAGAAATGCAACTCTTTTCCACGTGTATATTACTTTAGTTTACTGTAGTAAAAAGCTGACCAGAGTATACTTACTGGTTGGCCGGTAAACTAATGAGGTTAAGAGGCTTTAACCCAAACAGCAAACTAAGCCGGTATTTAGCAATAAATTGTATATTAAAAATATTTATATTCCCTTACCTACCCTCCCACCGTTTCCTTACCCCACCTCTGCTCCCTCAATCCTCTCCCCTCTACCTCCCTTCCTCCCCCTGGTCCTCTCCCCTCCTACACTGCCTTGGGGTGTAGAGGGAAAGTGAGGGGAAAATTGTGATAATGAGCGTCAAACGAGAATGAATTGTGAAGGAAAACAATTTGTTGTGGGAGAATTCCCCCTTCCTTTCCCCTCAACTGGTGTCAGAGGGGGAAGGAAAGGGCGGAGAGTGGAAGAGATGAAATAGGCAAAACATGATGAGTGGGGAAAAAGAGTACAGTAATAATTCATAGCAGTATTAAAGTAATTGATCATGAACTAATTTGAAACATGCCAAATGTTTCTAGGACCTTCAGTCTATATCTTGAGATGATTTCGGGGCTTTTTAGTGTCCCCGCGGCCCGGTTCTCGACCAGGCCTCCACTCCCCAGGAAGCAGCCCGTGACAGCTGACTAACACCCAGGTACCTATTTTACTGCTAGGTAACAGGGGCATAGGGGGTAAAAGAAACTCTGCCCAATGTTTCTCGCCGGCGCCTGGGATCGAACCCAGGACCACAGGATCACAAGTCCAGCGTGCTGTCCGCTCGGCTCCCTTATGAGGCTATGTGAGAGAATGTTTGTACGAGGATGAAGACCAGACGCCTGGTGCTAGACTCGCTAAACTTTACAGGGTCATACGAGTGTCACAGTCAGTCCAGTGCCCCCCCCCTCCCCCTCCACCTCTGAAGGGGGGGGGGGACATGGCTCCCCCAAACCTTCGCCTTCACAAAGTTTGTGGATGCGAAATGTTCAGCCCAGAGTCCATAGACTTTATCATTAATTTTTAAAAGTATGAATATGGTTTACTTATGTTCTAGGAGAAACCATTTGGTTACAGTGGTCGAGATAACGTATAGGGGAAATGGTTATAGTGATGATAAGAGCGCCTGACAGCTGGGTGGACAGCGCTTCGGATTCGAAGTCCTAAGGTTCAGGGTTCGATCCCCAATGGACCCCAATGGAGGCGGAGACAAATGGGCAAAATGTTTCTTTCACCCTGATGCCCCTGTTATCTAGCAGTAAATAAGTACCTGGGAGTTAGACAGCTGCTACGGGCTGCTTCCCGGGGGGAGAGGGGGGGGTAAAAAAACTAGGCCTGATCGAGGACCGGGCCGCAGGGACGCAAAGCCCCGAAATCATCTCAAGATAAGATGGTGGAGACAGGGGGGGAGGGGGGGAGAAGGTGTATAAGCATGACCTGGGCACCGGGTCGCCCCCCCCCCCCCTCCTCCCCGTCCCCCGCCCCCCCCCCCTCCTCCCCGTCCCCCCCCCGCCCCCCCCCCCTGTAATCACACAACATAACTGTCTCTATTTCCGCTTGTCACAACTTGTAATAAAGTTGTTACATCTTGTTATAACGTCTTTATGACGTATTAGAACGTTGTTACAACTTGCTATATTGGTTGTTACAACTTGTTAGGTCTTGTTAACACTTGTTCGAACGTTGTAGCAAGGTTGTAGTTTGGTCGTGTGTTTGGTACCCCAATTTAGTTATGTTGAGATGATTTCGGGACTTAACATCCCCGCGGCCCGGTCCTCGACCAGGCCTCCTTTTGGTTACACCCCCCCCCCCCCCAGGAAGCAGCCCGTAGCAGCTGTCTAACTCCCAGGTAATTGTTTACTGCTAGGTGAACATGGATATCAGGGTGAAAAAAACTCTATCCATTTGTTTCCGCCTCCACCGGGGATCGAACCCGGGACCTCAGGACTACGAATCCGAAGCCCTGTCCACTCAACCGTCAGGCCCCTGACAGCCTCTCGATTTAGCGTGACATAAATTGCTTTAAATATGATATCATTAAAGGAACATAGTTTGAATTATATGATAACCAATATGATATCATTAAAGGAACAGTTTGAATTATATGATAACATAATCATGAAAGTATTGAAAAAATCTCCGTTTGTTATAAGGAATAATGATTCGTTAACGGTGGCTCGTTAGCGGCGCTCGCAACAGGGAGCCAATGGCTGAACGGCCAGAACACTGGACGCGTGATCCTGTGGTCCCGGGTTCGATCCCGGGCGCCGGCGAGAAACAATGGGCAGAATTTCTTTCACCCTGATGCCCCTGTTACCTAACAAAAAATTAGGTACGTGGGAGTTAGTCAGCTGTCACGGGCGGCTGCTTCCTGGAGGTGGAGGCCTGGTTGAGGACCGGGCCGCGGGACACTAAAGCCCCGAAATCATCTCAAGATAACGTATCAGCAGCGCCAACGAGACTTCGGTAAACCCGGAACGACACACACACATTAACGAAACGTTTACATACCGAAACTTTGGGTCGTTAAACCGAGAAAGCCTTTCGCGGATGGGAAGAAGGAGGGGGGGGGGGGGGGGGGGGGGGGGGGGGGGGGAGGTGGGGGGAGGGGGGAGGGGGGGAAGGGAGTAATAAAGGTATAGCGATCATTTAACGAGCTTAGCGCTTAATCTGCCCCAGAACTCACTAAGCTGTGCTGAAAACAGCGCCATTACAGCCCCTCACGCCCTGTCCAATATCCCCCCTCTTCCCCCCCCCCCCCTACACCATCATCTACACCAAGCGAGCACCAACAAGCTGGTAGATCAACATAACTTGGAAGTGATTATATAATTTTCCCCTCCACGTTTTAAACGTCCACGCGGAGGACTACCACAGGAACCTCGTCTTTATGAACTAGCCGCTTAGCACTGTCTTCCCCCCCTTCTGGTCTCCCAGGAAGGAAGTGGAGGTGGTTCAAGCTTCTCACAGCTCTGGGAGATGTGGGGGTGGTTGTGGGGAGGTGTGGGGGAGGGGGGGCGGTAGTGTGGGGATGGAAGAGGTGTGTGAAGGGGGTGGGGGGGGGGGGGGGGTAGGGCAATATAGGCCCCAAAGATACAGCTGGAGGGTGGGGGGGGGGGTTGTGGGGTGGGGGGTGAGAGACACAGGTGCGGTCACTGGGAAGCTGGTGATGGTGTGGGTGTGGTCACTACCATCCATCTTTGATCTCTGGTCCCTCCTGGTGTGTGAGAACCGTGTCATCTCTGGAGGCTGTGGTGTGTGTGTGTTGTGTGTTTGTGTGTGGGGTGTGTGTGTGTGTGTGTGTGTGTGGTGTGGTGTGG